GTGGACGGTAAGGAGGTAGGGGGCGAGGGGGGGGGGGCGAGGGGGGGGGGCGAGAAGAGGGGGCGAGGGAGGGGGGCGAGAGGGGGGGCGAGAGGGGGGCGAGATTCCAATTAAAATGGAAGTGGAAAAAGGGGTGGGAGGAGGGACAGACTGTCCCATACACTGCCTTCTAGTCCATATCTATAAGTGAAAATGTCTGTCTATCTGTCTGTCCAAGGATGGAGACCATACGCTTGGGGCTAGTCTCACCCAACTAATCAGGGTGAGTGGTCTGGGGTACAGGACGGACATAGGCTGATCCGTGTCGATACGATTGATGGTATTAGGAGGGAGTTGGGGTGTATAGTGACTCCCCATATCTACTCCGTGAAAGGCGGTGTCAAAGGATTTCTTCACTTTTCTGAGACACAGACAGACGCAAAGGATAACAGAGAGCTTGGGGAAAGGTGAGAGAACAGTGTGTGGAACAGAGGTGACATATTTCACCCGTATAAAAATGCACCAGTTTAGCCTTAACTTGAAATGTATAAACCCTAGCCTAGAGTTTCTTTCACCCTATGCCCCTGTTACCTAGCAGTAAATAGGTACCTGGGAGTTAGTCAACTGTCACGGGCTGCTTCCTGCGGGTGGAGGCCTGGTCGAGGATCGGGCCGCGGGGACACTAAAGCCCCAAGATAACCTCAAGATAACCTCAAGATAACCTCAAGATAACCTCAAGATAATCTCAAGATAACCTCAAGATAATCTCAAGATAACCTCAAGATAACCTCAAGATAATCTCAAGATAACCTCAAGATAACCTCAAGATAACCTCAAGATAACCTCAAGATAACCTCAAGATAACCCACCTAACCTCTAACGTCGTCGATGAACAGAACACGTAAATATTACGGTGCTATCATGCTTATAAGTAAACACAAATAGTAACATACACCAACATTTATACAACGAAATCGCAGGATAAAAAGGAAAAGAGAATTACGAATTATGAATAAAAAATCTCTATCAATCTATGACACATTCGTGCTACAAGAATGGTTAAGTACACGAAAATAAACACACGAATATCTCCAGGTAATTTAATAAAAAATAATTTAATAAAAACTTAATAATAAAACCTGTTTAGCCTGCTATCGTGTGTCCTTACCGTCGCATAAACACTGTTAAACAAACGAACAATTAAGGAGTTCAGCAAGTTAATTAGTCCTGAATTACATTAACAAAGAAAGGTTCAAAATGTTCATAACCAAACATTGAGTTGACAGTTTTTTGAGACGGAACGTGAGTGATGGACGGTAAGCATTCTCTGGGACCAAGCTATCCCCTAACCCATCCCCAGGGACCAAGCCATCTCCCACCTCATCCCCATCGGTACAAGCCAATTCCCTATCCCCCCATCCTTGATGGGTTCAAGCCATCCTCTCCTACAAAATCGTCTTTTCAGCCCATCTGTCAACCCCTCTTGAGGCATTGGAGCAAGGAGATCTATAGGTCAGTCCCCAGTTCCCCTCCCTTTAAACCCTTCATGGTGGTTTTGGAGAGGAGCCGGATGCAACTGGGTCAGCAACAAGGCGGCCCCAGCGTCGCAGGAGGCAGCAGCAGCAGCAGCAGCAGCAGCAGCGGGACAAGCCGGATCAATCCTTATAGTGGCCGCTGCTTGCCCTCTCGTCCCTATCCTTCAATCCTCAACTCAAGATGACAGTCATTTGTTCATATATTTAGCTCGTGTATCGGTTAGTATGATGATAATTATTGCAATATTGTTACTAATAGCAATCAAAGTGACTGATGCAATTGAAAATCATATTAAGAATAATGCAAGCGATTGAAAAGTACTGAAAGAGGGAGTAGGTGGTGGGAGTGAGGAAACTGTAGTACCAAAGAGGGGAGTACCTGAAGATGAGAGAATTCCTAGATGGAGTACAGTGAGGAAGGGAGTCCCTGCCCCACTTTACACCATACCTAACATGTGCTCCAACAGCACATGTTAGGAGCACATGTGCTAGAAAAGGCCAGAGAACTGAAGCCTGAGTTATACCCTTCAACGTAGAACTAAATCACAGTATTAGATTATGGTTTGAAAGCGTGTGTCAGAAAGCGTAAAGGGCATGCCAGAAATGCAGAAGGGACATGCCTGAAACATATGCAAAAACTGTCAAATGTTCGAATAGCTTTTAAGAAACTTGGATAAGGAAGCCTGAAAAACTATAAATAATAATAATAACACAACATACGTGAGACGCATCCTTGAGTATGCAACCCTTGAATGGAATCACAACTTAAAGAGACAAACTCAAACTAAGGAAAGTGCAGAAACGTTCAACAAATAACTGAAAGTAATGAGCTGTAGTAAAAAGATACGACGAGAGAACTGAACCTCACAAAGCTAAAGGAGCAACACAGGGGACATGATAACGACGTTCAAGATTCTATGGGAATCACAAAAATGAATGGAATATGGGAAATGAAGATGTCAGTGAAGTAGGTTATATATATACACAGCTTCAAAAGCATGTATGGTAAGTGTACCGTAGAGGAACACTTATTTGGAAAGTGGAGCTTAGGAGCTAGAGTTTGACTCAGTAAACCCCTTTTGGTCAATACAGGCGCCCATGTCTTTGCGCGCACGCACGCATCGTAAAAAAAACTTACACACTACCCCCCCACACACACACCACACTCCCCACCCCCACACACTCCCCACCTCCACACACTCCCCACCCCCACACACTCCCCACCCCCACACACTCCACACCCCCACACACTCCCCACCTCCACACACTCCCCACCTCCACACACTCCACACCCCCACACACTCCCCACCTCCACACACTCCCCACCCCCACACAATCCACACCCCCACACACTCCCCACCCCCACACACAGCCATACTCATGCTTACCTTAGTAATGTGGAGTTTGAGATTTAACTCTAAACAAATTAAATTTTCCAACATTAATAAAGAAGGTGCTGGCCTGTCACCTGCTGAACGAGACTAACATTAGACTCATTAGTCTTGTGTACGATGATTTCTCTTGCGCTAAATATGCAGGTCGGCGTTCAATTCCCGACCGTCCAAGTGGTTGGGCACCATTCCTTCCCTCCCCCGTCCCATCCCAAAATCCTTATCTTGACCCCTTCCCAGTGCTATATAGTCGTAATGACTTGGCGCTTTCCCCCTGATAGTTCCCTTCCCTTCTTGCGCTAAATGAAAGCCAAATATTCTAGATGGAACATTTAATCCGTGTTATCTAGATGGAGCATTTTAAACGTATCTAGATGGAACATATTTAACGTATCGTTCTTCATCCTCAGCATAACAGGTCGTTCTTCACCCTGAACGACCTTTAGAGATCACAGTGTTCATTTGTTAATCCACAAATGAACACATCAATCTCTGCTATACATCACTAACGTGTTCTATACCTCTTGCAATGCATCTTATTATCTTGCAACTGCAAAAAAAATCAGCATTGCACCTTATTGCAATGTTGCATTCATGCAGGAGTCAGTATCCAAGCCTACGGTTCATTACCTCCACTCCCCAAGCATTTGGAATATAATGGATCCCAATTATTATTCTACAGCCCTAAGAAATACAGCGAGGGGGAGTGGGGTTGGGGGATTGGGGGTGGGATTGGGTGGGGGGATTGGGGGTGGGGGGAGGATAGTTATCGTCGCTTCAAACGCCAGAGGGCCTCATTAGGATGAATTTTTTCAGCCAAATGGAATTTAATTAAAGCAGATTGCACACTCGGATGCTGGCTTTGGCCTTCAGGATTTTTTTGGGGGGGATAAAGTCTGTCGTTTGTTGATGCTTGACATCTTTCTTAACTCAATCATCTCAAAAAACGGCTCAGGAAACCTTGATAGTGTGAGGTAATCAAATTGATTTAGCAACGTTGAAGTCAAACACATTTATTAGACTGATTTGGTTGATTTAAGTAAATTTAAGACTGATTTAAATAAATGATTTAAGTAAAAAAAAAAACAATGTATCACATATTTGACTTTGAATGTTATCTTTTAAATACACATTAGTCTAAAAAAAAATAAACTCAATCCCACCAACTAAACCCTGATGATTAAATGGCAGTTTCCAATTAATTAATTTTTTTTTCTCCTCTAGCTATATAAAAAAGCTACCAAATTCGACTCTTGGTCTCAATTACGGTTACACCCACCACTGATTGGCTGCTGTTAGGTCATTAAGGGGGAATGACGTCAGTGGGCAACGGGGATTAACCTTACAAGGGACCAGTCTCTAAATACACTAATCAATAGTCTTAAAATACCATTCCTGAAGATGGCATCATCTGTGACGTCACCGCCGATTGGGAGGATTGGGGAGGGGGGGGGGTGTCAGGTGGTCTATGACGTCACAGCCCAATTGGGGTGTTGTTTTCCTATATAATGACACTATTGACAGTCATCTTTCATTGTAATTAATGTATATATTTAATCAATAATATGAACCATCAGAGTGGCAACATTCCTGTTGAACACATAAATAAATCGACAAAAATATCAAAACTGGCAATAAATATTGCAAAATAATGTTGCCAAAATGTTTTTTTCCCCTACTTTTTTTTTTTCATGATAGGGAAGAGGTTTCTACCTATTTTCCCTCATAATTGGGAAAAATTTCCACATTTTTCCTCATAACAGGGAAAAGATTTCCACCTTTTTTCCCCATGATAGGGAAAATATTTCTACTTTTTTACCCTCATGATATAAAATTTATTTCACCACTTTTTTCCCTCATATAAAATTTATTTCTCCACTTTTTTCCCTCATGATATAAAATTTATTTCTCCACTTTTTTCCCTCATATAAAATTTAGTTCTCCACTTTTTTTCCTCATGATATAAAATTTATTTCTCCACTTTTTTTTCCTCATGATATAAAATTTATTTCTCCACTTTTTGTTCCCTCCATGACAGGAAAAAGCCCGCGAAAAGCTCACCCGCAAAACAACAAATCATTTGAGAGTTCCTTACCAGAGAGGCCGACGCAGAGGGTCCATATCCCGCCGTGGAGCGGCACCAGGTAAATCACTCTCGATGTCTGTCGTCTGAACCTCAGGGAGCGGGGATTCGAACCCGGGAAGAGCTGTTGAGACGCCGGGTCCTGCCGGCGCACCTTCATGGGCTGGTGGAGCTGAATGTTCACCTGGAGAGTAAGACGGAAATAAGGGTAAATGTACATTAAATTTATGCCGTGTTTTGCTTTCCTGTTGGAATCACTGTTGTCATATAGCATGATTACCGTTGTCATATAGCATGATTACCGTTATCCTATTTTATCAACCTGATCTCTCAATTTGCAACTCCGTTTAAATATAACTATTTGCCCAGGCCCCCCCAAACGTACAAACCCAAGCAACCCGCCTAACCTATCGAGGGTATATTGGTGAATTTTAATAGACATGCGTGATGTCAGCATCGTTTCACTGTCAACAATAGACTGCAAGTTGTTTGAGTCTCATGGTGCCATATATATATATATATATATATATATATATATATATATATATATATATATATATATATATATATATATATATATATATATATATATATATGGCTCATGTTGCGAAAAAATAAAAATGTGGGAGCAGGAGCCCGGGACAGGAGGCACGAGAGGCTATAACCACAACAGTTTAGTTGTTTTGCTCAGTTGGATTCCTCTCTCTTTTTTTAATTGTGTGTAATTTTCCATCCATTGGTTTTTATGGTGCCTAAAAGAAAGAAAAAGAGAGAGAGAGAGAGAGAGAGACAGACAGACAGAGACAGAGAGAGGGTCGACTCGGCCAGTTAAGTGTATATATATATATATATATATATATATATATATATATATATATATATATATATATATATATATATTAAAATTCTTGATCGTTATTTTTGAGCCGAATTCAGGGCGATTGCACATATTTACAGTTTTAAATTACGACTTTTTATACCGAAAATATGGAAATTAGTGAAAACAGCGATTGGTCAAATTTTACTCAAATCTCCCTGCAGTTTTCAAAATATGATGCCGATCTGAAATATTTTGAGTTTTTGCGTTTTAGCTGAATTCAGGGAGATTCCCTGAATCTCCCTGAATATATATATATATATATATATATATATATATATATATATATATATATATATATATATATATATATATATATATATATATATTGTACTAACAAATGATGACAATATATTTTTCTGTGTATGGAATAAACATTAACTCCCCTGCACAAATTTAATAAGCCTATTAACATACCCTCGACCTCCTAGGCCTCCCGGCCAACACAAGCCGAAACTGAACAACAGTTTTCTCAAAAGAATAACACTAACCAAACTCTACTGAGATCTACAACATCACACTCTTGAGGTTATCTTGAGGTTATCTTGAGATGATTTCGGGGCTTTTAGTGTCCCCGCGGCCCGGTCCTCGACCAGGCCTCCACCCCCAGGAAGCAGCCCGTGACAGCTGACTAACTCCCAGGTACCTATTTTACTGCTAGGTCACAGGGGCATAGGGGTGAAAGAAACTCTGCCCATTGTTTCTCGCCGGCGCCTGGGATCCAACCCAGGACCACAGGATCACAAGACCAGCGTGCTGTCCGCTCGGCCGACCGGCTCACTGAAAACAAGTCACAAATCCTGAGTCGGGTTTGTCAATGACTGTTGTGAAAAGTTGAATTAATTTGAGTAGTTACAAACCCAATGTTGCAAAGCTATGACCTTTATCAATACTAATGTTTCACGGGAGACATCTCCCGTCACGCAGGGTGCAGTCGCACCTCCACAGATCTCCAGTATCAGCTCTTGATACTGGTAATGGCTCAAAAGGGCCACCACTTACGGGCTATTCATGCCCGTGCCACCTTTTGGGTGGCTTAATCTTCATCAATCAATCACTAATATTTTGCAATATTTTTTATAGCGTCACAGAGAATCACTTCGTTAAACATCGCAATCCATTTGATTGCCTACGTGCAATCAATATTAATGCTGTTCAAATTAGGAATGACTGTATCGTTTCCCGTCTCTTCAATTACAACTATTACACCAGTTTGCCCTCCATGCAGTGGTTGGCGCCGAGCGGATTAGAGCCGGGCAATTACAAGCGACCCCGTCCAGAGCCCTAACTACCCTCTCTGATGACCAACCATCCGGATTAACCGGCATTTCCCGACTATGAATGTGCGCGAAATCGAACGAGGACCGAACATGGTTCCAGAGATAGCACGGAGCCACGGAGCAACCCCCCCATCCCCTAACCTATCGAGTCCGATGCATAGAAAACGCAGATATTTGTGAGCCGTTACTGTTCATCGTAGGTTGCATTTGTGACGTTGGGGACTATGACGTTAAAGTAACGCAGACGACGTAGTGGTGACGTAGATCTTGTAACCCCAGGGTGATATAGCCAGGCATCCCGCTCTCGCACTTTCTTACTGTCAATATTGACTTATTAAATACGTGCATATGTGACATACTAAACATACTAGTTTACCTTGAAAAGCTTCATAGAAAACACCGTCCTTATCTAACCTTCTTAGTATGTTAAGATAAGCATCTTATTGCTTCGTAATTACAATTATTACTTAACCTATACCTATAGTAGGTAAAGTAACCTATACCTATAGTAGGTTAAGTAATAATTGTAATTAAGAAGCAATAAGATGCTTATCTTAACATACTAAGAAGGTTAGGTAAGGTCGGTGTTTTCTATGAAGCTTTTCAAGGTAAACTAATAGGTTTAGTATGTCACATATGCACGTATTTAATAAGTCAATATTGACTATACGAAAGTGCGAGAACGGGTTGAGCCAGGCCAGGTCGTAGGGGTCCAATACTGGAGTTCTTTAGCCTTCTTTCGAGAGAAGGAGAAAAAGTTTGTGAAAAGTAGTCAAAGAATATCATATTTTAAAGCTTGTTTATGGCTTTAACCCTCCTACTGCCCAACCACTACCACCACTACCAACATTGTTACCACCACCACCCACAACTGTCATCTGTACAACCATGTTGATTGGTGGTATTGTGGTGGTACTCACCCTCACAATGTACACACATCCTTACCCCTTGTGTGAAAAAATACTTAAACTATAAAATAAAATATACTTTTAAGTATAAAATACTTGGAGAGAGAGAGAGAGAGAGAGAGAGAGAGAGAGAGAGAGAGAGAGAGAGAGAGAGAGAGAGAGAGAGAGAGAGAGAGAGAGAGAGAGAGAGAGAGAGAGAGAGAGAGACAGACAGACAGACAGAGCAAACTGCATGGCATGAAAAAAAAAAAGATAATGTCTTTCTAATGAAAAGTTCAATTACCTACACTTTCCGACCCGGCGCGGATCCTGTAAATATTATATATTATATGTTATATATTATATGTTATATACGTATATAGTCTTGTATTTTCAGGTTTATTAAATAAAAATACACAGATAAAATAAGTGTTATGTTTGAGCGTCAGTCCCCCATCCTCCTCCAAACACCCATTCATGCCCTCCAAAAACGTCGACCTTTCAATACATATTGTAAGGACTATGCCCCTGTTACCTAGCAGTAAAATAGGTACCTGGGTGTTAGTCAGCTGTCACGGGCTGCTTCCTGGGGGTGGAGGCCTGGTCGAGGACCGGGCTGCGGGGACACTAAAAGCCCCGAAATCATCTCAAGATAACCACCCTATGCCCCTGTTACCTAGCAGTAAAATAGGTACCTGGGTGTTAGTCAGCTGTCACGGGCTGCTTCCTGGGGGTGGAGGCCTGGTCGAGGACCGGGCTGCGGGGACACTAAAAGCCCCGAAATCATCTCAAGATAACCACCCTATGCCCCTGTTACCTAGCAGTAAAATAGGTACCTGGGTGTTAGTCAGCTGTCACGGGCTGCTTCCTGGGGGTGGAGGCCTGGTCGAGGACCGGGCTGCGGGGACACTAAAAGCCCCGAAATCATCTCAAGATAACCACCCTATGCCCCTGTTACCTAGCACTAAAATAGGTACCTGGGTGTTAGTCAGCTGTCACGGGCTGCTTCCTGGGGGTGGAGGCCTGGTCGAGGACCGGGCTGCGGGGACACTAAAGCCCCGAAATCATCTCAAGATAACCTCAAGATAACATCGAGTTTATTGGCATCTTCTCTACCCTCTCTATAACACATTTTGGTTCCCCGGAGATGAAGGCTGCTCATATCCCCCCCCAGAGCCTTTAATAGGATTTCACCAACAGTAATATCACCCACGAAAAAATGTGTTTGAAGCAGCACAAAAATTTGTTTGAACTTTGAATCACCTACTCCCCCCCCCCACCCTCACCCTCCCTAAAAAAGATAAAAATTATTTCAAGCTGCAAAGCCTTGTAACGTGTCTCCCCTTCCTCGCATTTTTTTTAGCTTTTTTGTTTTTTTTTCCACCATTCCTGAACCTTTTATGGACTTGTTGAGTGGAAATACATAACATTCTTTAGAATAGAGCGAGGCTGCCAACTGCTTGGTAAAATATTTCGAACTATAAACCTCAATAGAGTTTGTTTAATGTAATGTCTGATGTGGGTTTAAACAAATAAAATCGAATTTAATTTAAAATCTGCCTTATTATTGTTTGGTTAAGCTAACTACTTTGATACATATATATTGATTTAATGTATCACTTTCATCATAAGAAACTGAAAGGATAAAATACGTCGTTTCTGTCTATATATTTATTTTAGGTGGTAGAAAAAGCAAATATACGGGAAATCGGAAGCATTCAGCAAATTTGTTCTGAATGCTCCTTATTTCCTTCTATCTTGAGGTTATCTTGAGATGATTTCGGGGCTTTAGTGTCCCCGCGGCCCGGTCCTCGACCAGGCCTCCACCCCCAGGAAGCAGCCCGTGACAGCTGACTAACACCCAGGTACCTATTTTACTGCTAGGTAACAGGGGCATTCAGGGTGAAAGAAACTTTAGCCCATTTGTTTCTGCCTCGTGCGGGAATCGAACCCCCGCCACAGAATTACGAGTCCTGCGCGCTATCCACCAGGCTACGAGGCCCCTCTAGGCTATTAATATTACACGTAAATACGTGTAATCCGTCATTCACGTCACGATTCTTCGCGGCAGGGGATCGTATTCCAGGGACCATAGGATTAAGGACTTGCCCGAAACGCTACGCGTACTAGTGGCTGTACA